CGCACTTAACGCAACAGCAGCCAACTAAATTGCAAACAAATGAGGCGTCCGCTCATCATTTACCACACGTGCTACACACTATTTGGTGTTGTTTCTTGTTTTTGTTAGAGTTTTGTTAGCCAAAACACAAATCACGTTTAGCAAAATTCATGCATTTTGTAAACAATTATTTATTGTGTTTGTGTGTTGTTTTATTACGCTTGCTTCCTCAACATTTGCTTAAAGTTTTTTTGTTTGTTGTTTCCAAAAATTTGTGTTTTTGTTTTTGTGATTTATTTACTGTCTGCACGGCAGCGCCCAAAAAGTCAGGCCTGCATGCTTGACTAATTGTTGAAAACATATCGTGGCACTAAATTAGCCGCATCCAAAAAAAAAAAAAAAAAAAAAAAGCAAACCAAATTTATTTGTTGGTTGTCTGCCCCGCCTTTGCATTCGAGCCGGCCAAAAAGGTTCAACAGTCGTCGTTGTCTACCTTTTGCTTCCGGTTTCCAGGGCGCCAGCTGCAGGTGAACAAAATTGTTGTTTGTCTCTTCTTGTTTAATCGTTTATTTGTTGTCTCCTCCATGTGCGTGTCTGTGTGTGTGTGCTTGGGCACTCGTTGTGTGGTGTTATCTGCCGCGGCATGTGCAGCTTTTATATGTCTGTCAAAATGGTTATTATACAAGTTCTTGAGCACATAATGCCATTAAAAAAAAAGAAAATAAATTAAAAAAATAAAAATTAAAAAAAAAAACAAATAAAAATAAAAACTACCGCTGCTTAAGTACTTGCTTGTATAATTGTTTTTATTAAAGTAGATGTCTGACTGTAAATAATAATTTATAAAAATGTGTAGACAGCTCATAACATAAATTCAAAGCTGATTATTTATAATTTTAATCATAATTTACAGCACTTGAACGACGCACAAAACAAATAGTAGAATTTATAGTGAATTTATGGAATTGAAAATATGATATGCATCAGGCAGTTAAATGCTAGCAACAAATATAATAATGTGTGGGATAAAAATGTGGATGCTTTGTGGGTTGATGTATTGGCTTAAGCTGACATTATGTTTGTCAATCTGTTTTAGAAATGCTTCAATGCAGCTATGGCAAGACATAATTTCTATTTATACCAATCTCCTATCAAGAAAAAAATATATATAAATTATTATTTTAAAAATAAAAATAAATCTATTAAAGTTATTATTTAATTGAATTTAATAAGTTGTTAATATTATTTAATATTAATTAATTTATTAAAGGATTCTTAATTTAATCAGTATTTTAGATAGCATAAGGCAAAAAAAGGAATGAAAATGAAAACTATTGACTATATTTCAGCTGCTGTTAATATTATCTGTGTAGTGTAGTAATGGAATTTTCCTTTGGCGATTCATTTGCTAGATGACTAAAAATTGGAGGAAATTGGTCCTACGATTCGACAGCTCTTAACTATCAAAAGAATAGAATCAAAGTCTACATTCCATACGATCTTACATCAATACTACAAATATATATATGCATACAAATTTAATTATTATTTTTATTTATTTATTTTTGTCTACATTTGCATTTACCTGCAAAACATTACAGCTATGTTGAAATAAAACCAAATGTTTATTAATTTAATCCCATCAGATAATCATTAATTTTCCAATAAGCTAAGCTAAAACGTATACAAAATTAAAATTATTAAAAATTTAATTACGCTCCGTTTTCAAACTTAAATGATGCATGCCTTCTTCAGTCCAGTCGTGGGCGTTTCGCTAGAACTCAGACAAGAAAACACTTTTCATATGTATTTACAGTGCCGGCAACATGTGTTTTATGTCTGCGGACCAACGTGGACATATATTTTATGATTGATTTACGTTCATTTGCATTTGTTTATGCTTGTGTGCCCTTTTTCTCTCCAAATAGTCGTATTTATGCGACATTTATGGTGGGAATATGCTTCGAATTTATAATGTGCCTAGCCTTAGACACGCGTGTCAATCGTTCTCTCTCGCTCTTTGGCTCCTCTATTAGAGGGACAGGTGTAATAAAAATTACTATTATAAATAAGAAAATGTTTAATATTATTTATGTTCATTTAATTAATAGTCAAAGACATGCGTGCCATAATAACCAAATCGTTTCTCTGCCACATACTCCGTACAAATTGAGTCATTTGTGTTGTTGTTGTGGCATTTTGGTGGTTCATGTTGCTGCCATTGTTGTTGTTGTTATTGTTGATGTTGTAGCTGCTACGGCACGTTTAGCCGCTTAAACTTTGGCCCAAGCTAATCAATGTGCATCTTGAAGTCTAATGTGTGGCACAGTGCCAAATGGTTGGGCACAGCGAATGTGTCTAATGCCAGGAGGCAAATCAAATGACTTAGGCAACAAACTTGGCTCACATGTATTATAAAAGCAAGCAGAAACAGCAACAAAAACAAACTACATACATAGCTGCACACATAACACTCTGTTGACCCAATTGCGACTGGCTGTCTGTTTGAAACTCGGCCGCGCTTAGCTGAACCTTTTAAAGAGCTATTACATGTTTAAGCCCCACAGATTTGTTGTACTAGTATGTAGTACGTTGGGCCTGCCGCTTTGGCACCCATAAAACCGGGCTGACAACAAACGAGTAGCAAATTTTCTGCGTTGTCTGACTGTCTGACTGACGCGTTGTGATACCAAAAGAAAAGCAAGAAGCAAAAGACAAAAAAAAAAAAAAAAAGGAGGAGAAACATCTGCAAATCACTTGGAACGCATGTTGACAAGCCCCCAGCCTCTACAGTCGCTAAATTGCTAGAGAAGGTGCCTGCATAACCACAGCCAGCTCGTGAGAAGATAGTTTTCTAAGCAAACTTTATAGTGGAGATAGTATATACTCAAGGAAATCCTGCTTCGAATGGCATGTGAAAGCAAATAACGCGTTTGGGAATAATGTACATTAAATAGTTGAGATATTTAAAGAAATCTTTTTTTTATGTTCAGCAGGCAAGCACTTAAAGATTTTTGTTAAATATTTTTATTTATGATTATTAATAATAAATATTATTATTATTATTTTTTTTTTTTATTTTTTTATTTTTTTTTTTAGCTGAATAGTTATAAATATGCGAGCCCATTTTTATTTTTGAATGTCAATTTGAAATATTTAAAATTTTCTGTTTAATTTTCTTTAATACATAAAAATTTTGTTTTATTGTTTGAACATAATTTATTAAACTTTTTTTTTTAATAATAAGAATATGTATATTGTATTTACATTGTATTAAATAATATTACTAATTTTAAATTAATTAAACTTAATGAATTAAGTCTTTAGATGTTATTTAAATTATAAAAAAGTTGTTGTTTGGCTCTCTAATTATATATAGTTTTTTAAGCTGTAATTTTATAAGTATTTTTATATAGGTTATTTTCCATTGAATATTATTTTTGTTGAATATTTTATTATTATTATTATTATTATTATTATTTTTTATTTTATTTTATTTTTTTTAATGGTTATATGGTAAAACACAAGTTTCCGAGTCAATTAATAATTTATGTTTTATTTAGAAGTTATTTACTTAATTCGTAATCAATATAAACTCTTCCCATATATTAATAAACTGGATTGTATATATTACTCTTGCAACTATCGCCTACTTTTGCAATCGATTGCTCTTATCGATTGGATCACAGTGTCCAAACCCCAAAGACTACTATGGCAAAAATGTTTTCTTGGCGCAATCCTTGCTCAAACGGGCGCTGAAACAAGAAAACCGCATTTAACCATAAAAATGTGAACATATTTCTTTTTTCATGACCATTTTGGGAGCCCAAATGAATAACTGAGTTGGCAACTGACTGCCTAACTGACTGACTGACTATGTTGCAGAAGTTGCCACAAAATGTCTCACAGCTAATATCATATAAAAAGAGTAAAGCAATTCGCATCGCGTAACTGGAAGCTTTGAGAAAAGTTAGCGTAATGGGCATAAATTAAGGCTGGCTGCCTCATTGAAAAGCGAAACACAATAAAGCAACAACAAAATATATAAATTAAAAATACAAAATAACTTGGGCAACAAACTGGATGCAATAAAATGTAGTTATATAGAAATCACGGCCTAACTACCCACTGCATTTAGCATAATTTTAACACCTAATATTTATGGCCAAAATGACAGCCCACTCTATCGAGTGCCAGCAATGAGTATGTGCATATGTGTGTGTAGGTAATACATATTTATGTGCTCGTTTGTATGCCAACAACTGTCATTTGGGCACAGCCCGCGACTGCTATAACAATTACTTTGCTCAACACTTTAACCAGACAATCGACTTTGATGCCAAATCTTTGACTATGAATGTTTGCCTTGTTTAATTGTATTTTGTCGTCTGGGCCTATTAATTGATTGATGAAGAACTGTCAGCTGCTGGTTACTATGTATATATGCATGTCACTTGGTGTGAAGCATCCAAAATGCAACACTTTGAATATGTTCAATGAAATCGTTTAGCAATGAACTGGAACGAATTGAATAATTTGCGAAGCGAGGGTAGTTTGTGGAGTTACTTACAAATTTGAATTTGAATATGAATGAGTTTATATTTATATAAAATAGCAACAGAAAATATGTTTGTTGAACAAAAAAAAAAAAAAAAAAAAAAAAACTTTGTTATTTGAATAATGGCAAAGAAAAACAATAATAAAAAAAATAAATAAATAAATAATAATAATAGTACTTATGATAATAAAATAAATAAATAATAATATTAAAATAACCAATTAATGTATAGCTAGATTGTGGAATTTCATTGTGAAATAAAAAAATATTTTTTTTAAATATTTAATTCCTAAAAAATGTTTAATTATATTTTTCTGAATAAATATTTTGTTAGTACTAATTTATTTCGTTAATCAATTTCAATTTCAATACATAACCTTAAAAATAATTAAATAAATACCATTATATAAATGTATTTTTCATTATAAATAATAAAATGTTAATTTTCTCTTTTTCTTGGTAGTGGATTAAAGACTGGTTGTCCCCCATGCTTAGCTCAATTTAAACGCCAAGTGAGTAAATTTAATATATATTAAAATAAAAATTGTAGTTATTAAATATAAAAATGAACTGAATTTGTTCCACAATCTGCCCTCGACATAACGTAACTTGCATACGGCAAAATTGTACTACGAGCATATTGATTAATTGCTGACATGATAAATACGTTGCGCCTAAATGTGCCACAAGTCGATAGGCAAAACAGACGGAGACGGAGCGCTGTGTGTGTGAGAGAGAGAGAGAGAGATGGATAAAAAAAGCCCCACAATGGCAGACAACCACAAGCAGATCGAACCATAACAAATCATTTGTAATTAACACGCGTGGGTCTGCGACTCTCAGAGCCGCAATGCAAAGCGAAACAGCGACGCGATTCATATTGATTCAGAATTCTCAACTCAACTCGACTGAATTCAGTTTTCGCCACATGGTCCAGTCAGCCATATAGGGCGGCTCGACTGGCAGCCTATCGCTAAAGACGCAGCGAGAACTTTAAATATTTCTATTATATATCGAAACGAGAACACAATAAATTATTTAGAAATATATATAAATATACAAGTATTTTATTTTTTATATTTGCGCGCACCATTTTTGAGATACTTGTCTAATTTCGTTAGCTTGATTTATTTTCATTTTACATATATATTTTATTTATATACATATATATATTTTTGTTTTTGTTCTTCAAGGCATTTACAAGCTATGTAAATTGGCTGACTGTGTGCGGCGCGCTAATTATTAATTAATTATTTATATCTAATTAAATTGTTTATTTACCTGGCGATGTTGTTTTGACCATTTCGGACATTTTGTTAAACAGGAAGTTAATTAGTTTGGCCATATACGGCATAAACTATGCGACTTGACGATGTCTGCCTATCTGGGCGCCTGTTTGGTAGCATCTCTCGACAATTTGCATGTTGTCCGCACAGATGTATTTATCGCCTGTGGTTGACAATGTACAGAAAAACTCAACGCTACGTATGGCGATGCTCGTGCTGCGTAGGAAATGGCTAATAGTTAAACTGAAGAGCCACAAGCATATAGTTAATTAAATGCTCAGAGATAAGCCGGGAAATACGCACAAGCTACATACACAGACATACATATATATTTGTCTCTCGTGTGAATATGAACTTGAGCTTGTCAGATAGACATCTGTTTTGCATGTTGTTACCGTGAAGGACAGGAAGAGCGTTGACAACTTTCAATTTCTGCTGAAAAAAAAAGAAAGAAAAACATGCTTTGGAATGTATAACTCAATCAATGTATTTGCGCGTGTTATTGCCTAAGCAGACACCGCGCCGCACACTCTCGGCTTTATGGCTTAAAAGTCTTTCCATAACTGTAAGCCTTAGCTGATTGAACATAGCCCCTGGCCACGCCCATTTCAAATGAGGGATTTCGATTTAGCCATTCACTAGCCCATTTCACGACATTGATATGACACTCAAAGTGTCAGATTTAGCCAGTATTCATTTCTATTTTTGCAGCCAGATAATCATAGAGGGGCTTGCACTAAGATTAGATCTCAAATCAGGCAAGTGAAAAAAAAAAAAAAAAAAAAAAAAAAATATTTTAAATTACAGTGGGTATTTATAATTTGAAAATGCAATTTAATATTGTTGAAAACGACCAATTAATTATATATAATTACAAATATTTATATAATTAATATTTTTTAAAACAAATCTATAGTTTCGATTCGCAGACTGAAGAAGAGTCGATCTATTTTATTATTATAATTTTATTTATTATTATTTTATTTTTTTTTTTTTAAGAGAAATTTTAAAATATATTTATTTACAGCTTAGTGCACCGCTACCTTATTGATAACTTAATCTAAATATCTACTTAAATGCTATATTAATATTAATATTAATATTAATATTAATATTATATATGAAAATATTTATGGGTATTTATATATTATTATAAATTTTTTAGTACATTTTTGATTTGTATAATAACTCTACATTATTTTTAATAAAACTATTTTAAGAACTATAAAAAAAGCTGCTTATATTTTTCTATAAATGTACTATACTGTACGTACTGTACATTTGATGGATATTTATTTTTTATTAAAGTTGCTTAAAATATTCAAAACAATAATTATGATTATTTTGTATTTAAAAATGTTTTTATTTTTATTTATTTAAAAACATAATCAGCAATATGTATAACAATACAATGCCCCTGCTATACAATTACGATTTTTTGGACTATAAAACTTTTGCCATATGAGGAAATTTCTCAAAAATGTAATTAAATGCTATACAATTTTTGTTGGTATTTTTTGTTCACTTCTTCAAATATGCAGTGCATAATTGAATATTTTTGTAAAATCGACAAAGAAAATGAAACAAAAACCTAAAGCCAAACTGAGGGCAACCAAAGTGGGCGTTAGCTTTTGTTTGTCTGGTTAATTATTAATTGTTTAACTCTTTTCCCGCTCTTTGTCTCGTTTGGCTGAAGAGCATTGCACAATGCGCACGAGGCCTCGGGCTGCCCTATCAAGTGCTACAATTGCGCACTCGATATGTGCCACAAGTCGCAGCAGCAGCAGCGACAGCAGCGGCTGCCTCCTAATTGTCTGTCAACCCAAAAGAGCAACAACAAGCAAGTGTGGAGTGTCTTGAGCATTGCCCACATTAGTTAATTATGCGCCCATTAAGCATCAACGCGCTGAGCCGGTGAATTGGTGAATTGATGAGTTGGTGAGTGTGTCAGCAGTGCGAAGCTTCAAGTTGGCGGATCATTGAGAAATACGCAGAGGCTGCCAAGCGCCAAACAATGGTGTGTGTGTGCGTGAGGCGCTCGTGTGTGTGTGTGTGTGTGTGTGTGTGCGCAGCCAAAGACTCGACTCGCTTTTCATTTATTAGATTTCTTTATTACCGCTGTCTGACTTTTGCCACACCTCCTCCGGCTACAGCTCCTCCAGCTCGCGCATGCTCCTCTTACAACTCATCAGATCTCAATTGTGTTTCATTGTTTTTTTTTTTTTTTTCTTCTTCTCCTTCTATATCTTGCTTTGCTTTTTTTTGTCGTCTGCTGTTGATGGCATCATTTCAGCAGCTGAGCGTACGTGCAACAGTCTATCTGTCTGTGTGTATAGTTTTGTAATGTGCCTGAGCTTGTGGGAAGTTGCGACTGCTCCCTCAATACTCGCATAAAGTTCGTCGCTTAAGTCTTTCGCTTGAACTGTACCCTGTTGTTTGGGCCAGAAATAGGTGAAGTGGGTATAATAATAAAATTATGCAAATAAATGTAACGGACTTGTGGAACGCAAATTCATTGTAAAAATATTTTACTATGTTCATGAGTGATATTCTCTATGGCCATTGATCTGAGTAGCTATTATATATATATATATATATATATATATATATATATATATATATATATATATATATATATATATATATATATATATATATATATATATATATATATATTCTCATTTGTTAATATTTGTATGCATTCTTTTTAAATATAAAAATTTATGATAGTAAACGAAGCTTTGAGAATTTGCAATAATATAATAGTAAGATCTTATTATAATAGTAAGATCTTATTTTATTTTTTAATATATTATATATTTTTGATACAATTAAATTAAAATTTTATTTTTAACTTTTTAGTACTTTGTTTTAAGTTTGCGCATACTAATTTTTTTTAAATTTAAAAAAATATATAAAAATACAATTTGCTCCCCAAAAACAGTGTATTTTGCAGTCTGCCTTCGATTTTTCTTCCTTCTGCAGTATTTAATTATTCATTCATTTGTGTTAATTGAATGCGTGCCGCGCTGCATCGTCGTCGCTGCAGACATAATGGCAGCATTTGGCTGCGTTGGCGATGCTGTTGCTGTAATTGCTATTATTATTAGTGTTATTATCTTCGTCGTTGTGGCTGTTGCTGTTGTTGTTGCATTGCATCCATCGCACGACCAATAAAAATGAGAATTAATTTTCAAAAGATGCTAATGATTGATTGCGTTTGCATTTTGATTTTCTGTTTTTGGCAAATGCCAAAAAGCATTGCGTAAAGTTTTTTTCAACTTGTTTAAAAATTCTACTTTGTTTTCAAATTTAGGTATATATAAAATTATTATTATTATTTATTTTATTTTTTTTCGCTGTATTGCAGCGTGGGGCCTTTTAGACTGTTTGCCAGAGAAGAAACTTTTGACATGCACATGAAAAATTAATTAAAAATTGCCGAACTTGATAAACATGGCTGAAATTTAAAGAAGAAACTAAGAAAAATATACGAAAAATATATGTTTGTGTTAGTTATTTAGTTATTCAGCTACTATAAAAAACATATATTTTTGTGATAGACTATGAACTTAGAATTTCTATTTATAATACCATGTGTAAATAGAAATCAATTTCATTCATTCCGTTTTATTATCTTCAAGATGAAATAGGTCATCTCCGCTTTGATAGCTATCTAACTGAACTCTGCGTATTTACAATCTTCGTCAGCATTTGAACAGCAAAAAACAACTCCATAAGCTCTGGTCAATGCCAATATGTCTGTCACACCGATTCCGCAAATAATCCATTTATGATGTGCCCAACAACAGCAAAAGTAACACCCAAATCCGTTGGTTTATGGCTTAGACAAAAAGTTCCCGTATGTCAAATAAACCTTGACGACCACCATTAGCTTAAATGTAAATGCTCTAAGGGTGGTGCTGTAGTGGGCACTGACTGACTAGCAAATACCCAGCCTACTTTATTGAATTAATAGAGAAATTAATTAATATTATTATCAAAATTCAATTGAATTAATTAATTAAAGCTAAACAAAATTTAAAAATAAAATTAATTAGTCCAACTATTAGACTTCTGCTTGATTTTTTTTTATTTAGAAAGCATATCATAAAAGTAAATAGAACAAAAAAAAATATATAAATAAATGAAGCTGAATAATTATGAAAATTTAATAACTCAAAAAAATGTTTAATTAATTTCAACCGAAACTGACAATATATAAA